AATTAAAATACAGCCTCATCCTCCTTGACAGACACTATAAGGAAATTAATCTATTTGCTGATTCCCTGAAGGTTTATGTTTTAAGTGCTATTCATTGCCATTAAGGTCTGGTTTAGGCAATCACATATAATCTGCTATTTTGAAAATTGTCTACTATTGTTTCTAAATGTAATATATTCCTTGAGGTAAATATCTCTTTAGTTGTATTTCTAGTCCTTTTTTTTTCAGGGTAGAATTTTCTAGACTTTGTAACAAAACCATACTTTCTTGAAATCCTGTTTTTAAGAAAAGTATGTTGGGTAGTTGTCTTAACATTTAAGAGTACTGACTGTTTTGCCAGAGGACCAGGGCTCTATTACAAGCACCCACATGGTAGCTACTAAGCATTGTTAACTATCAGATTCTAGAGGATCCGATTCCCTCTTCTGGCCTCTGTGGTCACTGCATGCACATGGTACACAGACATGGATACAGGCAAAACATCCATACACATCAAATAAAAATAAATATCAAAAAACATTGTAAAGTAAAGGATACTCTACTTCTTGTCATGTTTGGCCTATGCATTTTAAGACAATCTATTGGTCTGCCCTCAATTACTACTAATGTTTCTCTATTTGTTCTTTCCTACAAGCAGTGACCAAGTAACTACCTATTACTACAATTGCTCATCATTTATGGGCCAAGGAGACCAGGAGACATCAGATATCCTCAGATTACTAGAAAAATTACAAGAACTCTCTTTAGAGAGTAGCTGTGGTTCAAAATTTCAAGTTGAGGATTCATCTTAAGTTTCTACTGTTGAGATAAATTCCATAACCAAAAGCAACTTGGGGAGAAAAGAGTTTATTTCAGCTTGTAGGTGCCATGGGCCATGTCATGTCTTCAAGACAGCATTTCACAGCACTCCTCTCTGTCTTCCTCTGTCTTCCTCTCCATCCCTCTTCCATAATGTTGATGTGGGTTCTCTTTATTAACATAGAGTTTTCCAGTTTAGCTAGGTGATCTGGTCAGCAAACCCTGGGTAGTCTCTGTTCTCTGTTCTCTCTTCTCCCCAACCCCACTACCAGCATTACAGATGCCTGCTGCTGTGACCAAGTTTTTCACGGACACTGGAGATCATGGGTGCTCGTGTCCTCATTCTGGCACAGCGAGCACTTTATCCACTGATTAACTGGATATCCCAAGTTCCCTCCCATTCTATTTTTAAAGTTATGCAATCTCTTCCCTTATATCAAGTTAGTCTTTCAGAAGACTTTCCCACATTCCCTTCTCTTGTGTCCTTTGAGGCTTCTCGTGGACAGAATTGTGTTATAAAAACAATGGATAAAAAGCACTCCTTTTTCAAAGTCTACTGAGTAGTAGAGGTCATTTCTACCTGTACAATTTTCACTCTGAATCTCATACTCCAAAAGGTAAAGGACTCATTGAGTAACATAACAATACCCATAGAGACAGAATAATGATGACCTCCTAGACTCTAATATCTACCATCTGGGACATGTTAGTGTGCATGGCAGATAGGAATTAAGGTTGAAGATGAAACAAGATTGCTAATAATCTGGCTTTGCAATAAGGTCTCTAGATTATATAGGTGGATCTAACATAATCTTAACTGTGAGTGGCAGAAAAGACTGTGAGGGAAGTGGGAATAGACTCAACTTTCCTACCTGTAATACAGAGGTAGCATGGGCTACAGGATGTAGGTGACTTCTGCAAGCTGGAGAAGTCAAGTCAATAATTTTTCCCTAGACACCACAGAGGGAACGCCATCCTGCTTTTCTGTACAGTGAAGCCAAGTCAGACTTCTGAACTACAGAACTCCAATACATCTGTGCAGCACTAACCCAAGTTTATGCTAATTTCATTGCAACAGTGGGAATACAAGACAATGTCCCACATTTTTAAATACTAAAAGCAAAACCTTGAATTCAGAAACAGTTTGACAATTTATTTTTGCATATCCCACATCTTCATAACACTTTAATTGACCTCCACAATTAAAAGGCCAACTATTCTCTGCCAGTTAACCAAACACAATGACCCAATTAAAACCTAAGCCTTGACAGTATAGTAACACATGGATTACTCTAAAGTTTAAAAAAAATCTCTCTCAAGAATTCATCTTGACTTATGGATTATGACAAAGTATAAGCATAAAAAGGAACATCAGTCAGTGAGGGGAGATTTACTTTAAACATATTTCAACTAATAACTGAGAAAGGAAAGACAGAATTACATCGTCATGTTGTAGTCCCTGATAACAAGAAGTGGGGAGAGGATAGCTCCCATCCAGGAAATAGCAGACTTCAGCTAGGGGTAGATCCAGATTCTAGCTGGTGTTCTTTCCCTGGGAGCTAGTGGCTACTCTTTAAAAATAAATACTCTTTAAAGATCTAAAATCATCAAAAAGAAACTAGTGTTTCATAGCACACAAAAGTGCTTCAAATTCAGAATTGGGTATTTACAAATAATATTTTATTTGGCACAGCTGTGGTGCCCATGTACTACTAGTATGTGTGTTGTATTTGTCCTGTAGCAGCAGAATGGAGCAGCAACAGGAGGCTCCATGGCATTGCAAAATATGAAACATTTGCTGTCTTTGAAGGAATGATTTCCTGGCTCCTTCTCTAAGCAATGGGCATCAATTCCAGATACAGAAAAAAAATGAGAAGCATAGGAACACTCATGAAATATTCTCACAAATGAATCAGATCTAAACTGATTCCAGGGCCTTACAACACAGCCAATTTGTGGGGAATAACAGTGGACAGAATAGCATGTGCAATACCAATGTCAGGACGCACTCCACAGAGGAGAAGGTGGGGAACTCCACAGAAGAAGTTTGCTTCTCCAACAAAATCATTTTCTAGAGGAAAAAAAAAATAGACCAGGAGGGAAAATCTATAAACTAAAGGGATAATTACGATGTGTCAATTCCATGTGGATTCTGATAGAACCCCACTAAAACACTGAATTATGAAGGGGTCGGTAAAATGTTAGACCAGGAGGGAAAATCTATAGACTAAAGGGATAATTACAATGTGTCAATTCCATTTGGATTCTGATAGAACCCCACTAAAACACTGAATTATGAAGGGGTCGGTAAAATGTGAGAGTAAGATCATAGCTGAGGGTATTGATGACTTGCTAATGTATTTAAATCCCATCTTAGATTTGTTCTTCCAAGTCTCTAGAACAGTGGTTCCCAATCTTCCTGATGCCATGACACTTTGGTACAGTTCTTCATGTTGTAGTGACCCCCAACAACCATAAAGGTATTTCACTGCTACTTCATAACTGTAATTTTGCTAGTGTTATGAATCAGGATGTAAATATCTATTGTGCGGGATATCTAATATGTGACCCCTAAAGGGGTTGAAACCCACAGGTTGAAAACCCCTGCACTGGAGTGTTCAGGGTTATGACTCAGTAGCAGAGCACAGGTTTCACATGCACAAGACTCTGAGTTGAATGCCCCACATCCAAACAAGTAAATTAATATTCTCTCTCTTTCATATAACATTTAGATAAAGTAACATAATATCTGAGATTTCTTTGCAAATTTTCTGGCAGAGAGGGAAGAAATGGAGAAGAGGATATTGGCTGAAATTAAGTTATAGGATTATTATGAAGTCTTCCTATATTTTTGAAATTTCCCATATTTTAAAAAAGGCATTATTTCCCAAAGGCCTTGAGTTTCATGAAGAGAGTAATTTTATTATGGCAATTTTCCTCAAAGCATAAAGAAACCAATAAAAAAAATACCAAAAGCAAAGAGTGCCCTATACTTTGATATTACTTAAGTTTCCTATTTTTGTTCCAAAAAAGCCAATAAAATTAGCTTCGGCAAAGATGCAGAAGGGTGTTTCAGTGATTGAGATGTGCTGTGGATGTCCACCATGCTGAACTTCCTTTCAAGGCATTTTGCAAACCGCAAGTCCAACACAATCATTAGTTTCATATTACAACTTAGCTGTATTCATCAACATTCTAACTTCCAAAGTATTAAAGAAGCACCTCCTACATAACAAGGCCCCAGTGCTTCTCCTCTCTCCAGTGAATACCAACACGGAGTTAGGAGACTGCCCCATGTGAGGGAGGACATGACTTCCAAAGGCTCTACATCAAGGCATGTGTCATTCACACTCATCCAGGAGCAGGTACTGTCATCTTCCTTCCTGCTAAGAAGTTGCAAAAGCAGTGAAGAGACTGAGTCAGGCTGAACTCCATAAGGGTGAATATCAATGACAATGGCCAGCGCCTCCCACCTTCAGTCTCTGGCAAGTTTTGATATAATTAAGAGGTTGAGATGTAGACAAGCTTAACCATCCTGTGGCTGGGCACTCTATCTTCCTAAGAGCAACACATGTCAGCAGCCAAAGAGACAATGAAAAAGAGTTTCCCTGAATAGTTTAAAATAGTGAAGTTAATTAGCCATCAAATTAGTAAGCAGGGTGTTCCCAATAAGAAATGAAAGAAATAAAAATGTATGCTTCGAAAATGTACTAGAAAAATAGAAACATAGCATTCATTATGAATACTTGCATATAATGGCACAATATAGGTCAAAAAACAATGGTGAGTAGACAAGGCAAATGGCGAATGAAAATCCACTGCACAGCACAGTTCCCAAGAAATGCCAAGAAGACAATGACACAGCATCCGTTTGTCTTTATAATGATAAAAATGTATACTAGAGGTGAGTCTTTAATTTGGATGAGAGAATGAATGCTGATTTTAGGAAGGGGGAAAAATAGGAAATGGGTGTTTTATCTGTATCTACAATATTTTGTTATTTTAAAGATTTCAAGAAAAGATAAATTTTTTAGTTTTTATTGACTGTATGTTGGAATTATCACGGTGCCTCAGCATTTTCTCTGTTTGCATATGGGAATTATGTTTTCATTTAAAAAGTATAATGAATGAATAGTAGAGTCAAAGAGACTTGTAAAAGAATTTTCACTGAATAGTGTTCCCTTAAGAAAACAGGGCATCTGGGTGACTCATAAACTCAGTAAGAAAGGAAGAGATAACAGGTGAGAAAAACTATCCATGGGATGATTTCTTCAGGTTACACAGCTAACAACTGACAAGAGTCCAGCCTCAGCCAGCTCCTTTCCAAAGCTACCACAATGTTTACTAGAGTACTTGCAGACTTATGGCCCAAGTTGAGACAACCTGCTTCAGATCAGACCTTTTGGGCAAAATTATTATTCAATATAGCTCTCAATCCAAAATATCACTATTATACAGTTCATTTCCATGAAATCCCAGTAAAAGCAACTTTCCAGAAGGGGGAAACACCTAGGCAGTTATTAGCATGAACGCTTTCCCTTTTTTGGATTACTTTGCGGTATTCTAGAGAGAAGGTTTTAATGAATATGCAGCCCTGACAGAGAGTTCCTGTCTTGTCATACATAGATTGTCATGTCAATTCTCAATCTTAGACATCCATCTTCAGAACATCCAGAATGGTTCTCACTTTATTAAAGCTTAGGCAATTTCTGACATTCTTTAAACCTATTCCAGGAGGTCAGAGAAAGACACGAACTGATGCTTTGGTGACCTTTGAATTATTCATAAAAGCTTCCACAAGCATACATTTCACTACATGACAACTGTGAACTCATTCATCAATGTTCCAGAATAAATACCTTCTAAGTAAGACCTACCCAAGCATCAGCCCTGCAATCTCCTTCTACTAGGCAAGTCCATGAGGATGAAGGAATCAGAGCTAGATGGATCACAAGAAAAAGCAAATTTGCAATATAAATTTAAATGCAAATGCAAAAAGTAAATTTAAAATAATCCCCTCTACCCCACTTCTGTGGAGTAATTTCATAGTTATCTGTCTCGTATTTATTTAAACTATTCTTCTATATCCAGAAAGAAAATAACAAAAATAAGATAAAAACAAATAAAACATTTTGTCTCTATTTTCCTTTCAGACCCAAAGCCTAGGAACCAAAATCTCCCTCACATTAACTAAAAACTATTGCTTTTATTTTTATGTTGCTAATTGATTAATTCATTCATGGAGCAAATATCTGACTGATTACTCTGTGGCAGGCTCTGTTCAGGGTTCTTTGCTATATCATTTAATAATATAAAAATCTGTACTCAGGGGAGCTAACATTCCAGCTGTAATAAGCAAAGAAAGTCATTTGATGGGAAGTAAGAAGACAGACAGTTGTACATGCAGTCTGCTGATGAGAGCCTCCACACAGCCAGAGCCACAGAATGATTGGTCTTGGTGTTATTTAACAACATTTAGCATCTATCTCCATGATTCAATTAAAATTACCATTAGGAAGATGTTATTACTTTCTTCCTAACTGACAAATCCAAGCAAGCTTTTCTTCCTCTTGATGTCTATCACCATGTCAAGGAAGCTTATGATCCTGATTTTCTAACCCCACTTTTGAGGAGGCATGAACTGTTTAACCTTGCTCCAGTGGGCTCTGGCTATAAAGATAGATTGTATCCTCTGTCAGCTGCTTTTCATATCTCTTTTGTGTGGATTAAACTCCCAGTGCTATTAGACAAATTGTCCAGGACCTACCATGGTGACTGTTCCACTTAAGTTTCTGTTTCTGTTATAAACACCATCGGAAAAGCAATTTATAAAGGAAAGTGTTTATTTTATCTTACAGTTTGCAGTCCATCATGAAGGAAGCCAGAGCAGGAACTCAAGACAGGAATCCAGAGGCAGAAACTGAAGCAAAGACCATAGAAGCTCACTGGCTTGCTCTCCATGGTTCACTCAGCTTTATTTTTTATACATTCCAAGTCCGTCTGCCCTGCTCAAATACTGCCTACAGGGGGCTGGGTCCTCTGACCCCTTGTATCAATAATTGATCAAGAACTCACCTCCACAGACCTGTCTGCCCTGCTCAAGTGTGATACTACATACAGGGGCCTGGGCCCTCTGACCCCTTGTATCAATAATTGATCAAGAACTCACCTCCACAGACCTGCATACAGATGAATCTGATGGAGGCAATTCTGCAGTTGAGCTTACCTCATTCCAGATGACTCTAGCTTATGACAAGTTGACAAAAACTAACTAGCATTGTGACTAAAACTTGTATGTGCTTGACAAATGCTAAAACGTTTCTTTCTTTCTTTGTGTGTGTGTGTGTGTGTGTGTGTGTGTGTGTGTGTGTGTGTGTGTGTGTGTGTGTGTGTTGCCACAGACTCCAGAAGAGGATATTGGATTCCCTAGACCTGGAGGTCCAAGCCTGGAGGTCCAGCCCTAACCTGGGTGCTGGGAACAGAACTCGGGTCTTCTAAGAACAGCAAGTACTGTTAACTGCTGAGTCATCTGTTAAACTCCTAGAATAAGTTTCTTAAAAACAGGTACTCTCTAGAATCCTTTCATTTTTGTTCTTCCAGCCCTCCTTTGCAAATGAAAATGATAAAGTCAACACATCCAGCTGGTCTAACCAAATGAGTATAATGGTTCTTTTGCTATTTATAAATAATTTTAACTACTCAATTGTTTTTTTTAATCTCAGTAAACAATGACAGGAGAAACTGTTCTGACATATTTTAGAATTGAAAATAAATTAAAACTTATCATCCAGGGATATTTTCCCCAAAACTTGTTTGAAATACTTTCCTCCTAATATGTTTGTTGCCCTCAAAGATGAAACTAAAATTTCGTTAAAACTTATCATCATTCAGGGATATTTTCCCCAAAACTTGTTTGAATTACTTTCCTCCTAATATGTTTGTTGCCCTCAAAGATGAAACTAAAATTTCATTCACTACGAGGATTACTGTGGGGAAAAGTGTATTCATTGTTTTGCTAATTATTCAAAAGTAGCATTTCCAAAATGCTTAAACAAGATGCACCATTGTTATTAAATGAATTTCTCTTCATCCAAAAAAGAAAAAAAAAAAAGAACATACTAACAAGAAAATGCAACTGTATTCCCAGGCAACACAATGAGCAAAAGGCAGTACACAAAAGTCGACCTGTCAAGAAATGGTTTACTTCAGTGATGGACCAGCACTGCAGGAGACTCATTCCACTTCCACCAAGACAGCCCTTTGTACAACAAGAAGAAACCATTAAGGGCTTAATGGCACTGTGGTGATGCATTAGATGCTGAAAGAGAAACAGGGATATTCTGTTTGCCCAGTTGCCAGTTTCTATCACAACTACCACGACTCACCATCTGCATGATTCCTCAAGTACTTGACAAAGGAGTTTTTCTAACTTTAGCCCTGCCTACTCAGCCTTTATTTATTTATTTCAAGACATTGACAAATCTAGCTGTTGTGAAAACCTGTCCTTTAGGCATGCCATAGTGATACTGTCTTGCCACCGTGATGTCAGAGAGGCTTAGATTACCCATCCACAGAGACTCGAACAATGTCACAAAATCAGGTCTGTTGATGTTTTCCTGAAAGAGATCTGAGATGGCTCATGAGGCATAAGAGGTCCCTCACTTCCCTAAGGATATATAAGCCAGATGACAATTGCTAAAGAGGGGCAGTCTTCTTTGGCCCTGTAGCTACCTATAAGTGTCCATGCACCTATAAATAACCCAATTAAATTCTTTGCCTTACCAAGCTAGACTTGGATGGAATCATTTCTTTCATCTCTTGTAGGTACCATATCTGGGATGGATAGACAGTTGTTTATATCTTGAGACATAGGAAATAAAAGAAAGCAATACTTGCTTTGGGTAACAAAAGCTAGAAGTCACCTACTAGGCCCAAAATGAGGATGTAAGTGTCAGAAGCAGAGCCAGGTTTGTACAGACTCTCTCTAAATACACAGCATCTCAAGCCTAAGCCATGGCAGGCAGAATACATTTGGTACCCAGCTGAAATCCACTTGCCTGCTCAGGAGCATTGCTGTTTCCCAGTGCTCCCTGATCTTTCTGCACACTCTCAGTTGCCCACTTATCTGCATAAGGTGTGATACTCTGTGTTTGGCACCTGCTGATAAGGGTAATTATAGCATTAGTGGAAGCAAGTACGCCATTCAAGGTTGAAAAACAACTCTAATTACAACTACTCCATCATTTTACTCCCTCAAACTGTTCTTGTCCCTTTAACACAGAGCTTACTCAGAGATTAAATTAAATCTACATCTATTTGAAAACAAGCCTTTAAATAGTTATGGGACTAGAGAAAATCACCTCTTTAAATTAATAATGCATGCATGCTGAGGTATTAGATATTTGCAACACTAGGCTGCACTTCCTAGATTACATTTTGAATGCTTTTCATGTATTTCTGTGCAAATACAAAATCAACAGGAAGAGCAAACACACTACTTCAAAGAAAAATGCAGTCTAGATCTTATAGAATGACCATGAAGTTCTTGAATTATCTTTATGCCTATAGACCACCTTAATAGAAATACTATCTAAAGAGCTAATATTAAGAAACTTAATTCGATACTCCAAATGCAAACACATAATCTCACACTAGTCAATAATAAAATAAAATTGGAATAAAGTTTATCTGCCTCCATTTTAAACAGTTTCTAGATTTAAAAAAAATCTAAGACTTTATCTCAGAGGAAATAATTTCCAAAGGATGCATATTATTAAATATTACTTCACTATATCAGAATTATATGAGTTAGGTATTTGAATATCAAAGGATCATGGATTTATACACATGCTGAAAACCATGAAGCTGAAACATAAGGAGAGAAAGGAAGATTTCTTAAATGATATAGGAATCAAAGAGATCGCCATGTTAGGCATGCTCACTGTTGTGGCCCAGAATCTCAAAGCATGGTCATGAAATGCCACCATGAAGACTCAGAACAGCTGCCCCTTTCTCCAGCTTTTGCAGAGCCAGTACTTCTGCCTGGCACTGGAATAAAAGATTCTAGATAGCTGTGGTTAAGGATGGATGGGGCATACCTGGCTTATTCTGGCATATTCTCTTACCCCTGGCTTCCCATACTCCATAAGCACTTTCTCATTACAAATGAATCTGCCAGAAATGTAACCCTTAATTCAATTGCTAGTATCATGGCTGTGCAGGCACTCAACTTCTGAGAAAAAAATTCTTACAAATTCAGTGGTAAATCAATAGGAAATCTAACTAAAATCAATTTAAGCAAATCTCCCTTAACTTCACACACAAAATACTGTAACTTGGGTCATAAAGAAAAGTTTCTTTTGTTAGCTTAGAACAGTGGTTCTCAACCTGTGGGTCATGATCCCTTTGAGGAAGTCACATATCAGATATTTACATTGTGAGTCATACCAGTAGCAAAATTACAGTTATGAAGTAGCAGTGAAATAATTTTATGTTTGGGGGTCACACAACATGAGGAACTGTATTAAAGGGTCACAGTATAAGGAAGGTTGAGATCACTGTCCTAGAATGTGACAGAAGTTTCCCTGTTGGAGCAAATAATTCCATGTGCAGGAGCTAATGCCTGTATCTCAAAAGTAAAAATGAAAATTAACACTGCAACCTTTCTTATTTGGGTGGATTAGATGTCCTTACATTCCCCTGAGGAATTTTAACCAGATTGGAATAAAGTATCAAGATTTACTTTAATAAAATCACTATATGGTCATTTCATGGTCTCAGAAGAGCAAAGAATGATAATGAAGCCCCATGTTTAATAATTAACCAAATTCTTCCACGTTTATCTAGCCTGTTTTCAAAAGAAAGAGTAAAATGTTCATATGATTTATTATTAGGCTGAATGCCACATTGTTTCTGAATATAACCTACAGTGTATAAGACCCACAGCTGTGTCAAAGAATATCTTAATTACTCATAAGAACAACAAAGAGCAACACTGTTCAAGTTAGCTGTGGTCTATAAGCTATTTTTCAGAGACTAAAATATGACAAAAGTTGAAAACAGCACCAGATCACATTAAATTATAAGAAGGCATCTTACCTTGAAAATTAAAAACTTTTGTAAATAAATACCTTGAAAGCATTATCATCCCCTTGCTCCTTCCTGTGTTTGCATGAATGTGTCATGTCTCAATTACTAATGAAGTCAAAAGTCTTTAATCAAGAACTAATGAGATCAAACCAGGAATGAAACCTAAGATTGAAAAACCTAAGAATGACAAAAGCTCATTATCTTTGGGGGATTTTTAATCTGATAATTAAAAGCATAGCTAAGAGACTTATTTTTGGAGTTTAGAACAGAATCAATATTGAACTTGCCATGCAATGTGAGAAAAAAACACAGGCTTTCAACTGCCTTTTAATGAATTGCTAATGTTTCAATTAACAAGTACCACAGAGAAATACTGCACCATCGCCTGCCCTTAGCAAACAGGAGGACATGGTTACTTTTCCAGATGTTTCTGGTTGTCATGGTATCCTAGTATGCCTCACACACAATTTTATTCAAGGCAGTAACCTCCAAGGCATTTATTCTCGAAACAGCATTAAATGAAGATTTTGTATGGCCCTGATAAATGCTGTTCACCCACCTGTTGAGCAAAATCAAAGACACAATATAAGAAGCCTAGTAGAATAATATATAGATGTTTTCTAAGGAAATTAGCTTAATTCTTAGTTTATGTAAGTGGTAAGAGGTCATTAATCTTTTTTACAAAATTTATTCCATAAGTCTGTCTTCAGATTAAAATTCTGTTTTTAGGACATTTTCAAATCTGCATTTCTAAAGGGATATTTCTGTGCCTGAAATAAAATTAATTGCATGTATATGGAGTATACCCATATTTTTAAAAACTTGCCCACAAAGCATCAAACATTTGATTGAAATTCCCAAATTTATTATTGTTTTCTGCCACTAGTTCTTTGTACACAAGAAAACAAAGTAAAATAGACTAAAATTGCACTCTGTAGAAATGCTGTTTACACATGCTACTTTTATGTGTGAATTTTATCCTTCAGTGCAACCCCTGTGAACTAGAATGAGCTAACTAATCATACTAGAGTCCATAGTGTGAACTATTTAATTAACTCTAATTCTCTTCACTATGTACAACCTGCACAATACCTCTGAAAACATAGGAATACACATGCTGATATTTCTAAGGAAGCTTTTCGAGTTAAAAGCCGTGTGTCCTCTTTGCCCATGAGCAACAGGAGGCCAATGGAACCGTCTTCTGGAACAGAGCTCTCTCCCTCTGACATGATGGAAAACCTAATATTTAAATACTAGAAATGCAAACGCAGCAGAAGTTTTCATCAACTGTATTCTCCACACACACACAACACAGTGCCTGTGTTAATTTCACATGAGTGCTTTTATCGCACTAATCAGACACTGAAGAGGCGCTGACACATGGGAAAACTGCTTTCTGAATGTCGTACATGTTAAACAAGAGGCGTATGAGCACCTGGGATATTTTTGCTATTCTCTACATGCAAATGACATTCTGCAAACAATTAAACCCACCCATTAAAACGGTGGGGGTGGGAGGTGGAAAGAACAAGTATTAAGAGAGTAAAATTATGACATACCCTTCCTATTATACCCCCATTCAGCTGGTGTTAAGTGAGTTCGAATGTGGGATACAGACAGATCAGAGTGATAGTCTTGAGTCACACGATGTGGGATAACTCACACACTCCCGTTAATTACAAAACTCAAATGATCTGACCGTCAGCCCCTCGCCTATCCAACACTCGTCCCATTCCAGCACAGACAGACAGCAGACAAGTCAAGAGACCCTGTTCTAGCTAAAGAGAGGGGATTGGTCCCCTATGGGGCCCCTCCTCACAAGGACTTTCTTTCCCTGTAAGTGGCTCCACAAGTTCCCCAGGCTCCAGCACCAGGAGGGCAAGTTCAGCACCACGGACAGGGTTCCTGGCATCAGGAGAGAAAGGATGCTGAGGCTCAGGGCTCTAGTCACTCACCGGTGTCTGCTGCGAGGGCAGTCCCGAGCGCTTGGTGGACCCCTGCTTGGAACTTAACCTTTTCCACGACTCGGCAAACCTGCCCCGGCTGGCGCTGCGGCTGCGCCTGCGGCTCTCCGCGCTGTCCTCGCGATCAGAACAGCCTCGCTCCATCTCGCCCGCGTCCCTCCACTTCTTGCCCATGCTTAGCCCGCGTGGACGAACTGGGAGGTGGCCCTGCTCCCTTGGCAGTGCAGGCTGCAGCCGGCGCTCAGCTCTCTACTGCGCCGCCTTCGCCTGGTCGGCT